TGATACGTCGCCGTTTTTTTTTTTTACATGTATAACACGAACTAACCCCCTGTGACCACATATTGGTGGTGCCATTTTCCCCCAACAAATGCTTAAAAATTACAGAAGAACATTTTCAGTCTTTCTGATTATAAATTTTTAAAGGTGTTAACATTAAAAAAGATATTTGAATTATTAAAAAAAATATTTGAGTCGGCGCGATTTAATTGGGTCGGTGAAGTAATGGGAAACAAAGGTATTTTTTTTCTTAATTTGGCCTTGGTAGATAATGTTAGAATATTTAAAGAATAACATATTGATTTTTTTTTATTTCACTCTTCTATCTAATCTGAAAGTGTCACTAGTATGTAAACATTTCAAATAAATTTCTTATATCTAGGGTAAATATTTTTGGTGTGAATCAGTTGATCACGGAAGTTCTAGGTATTTTCGGGCGTCATCATTTAGTGCAATGCCATTCAGTACTTTATTTGCGAAAAGGAGAATATTTTATATTTATATTTACTGTATCATCTGTATTTAACTGCATCCAATTCCGATGGATAACGATCTTGACAACCAAATTTCACAATATTCAATTACTGAACCTGGACGAACAATGCTAAGCATTGTAAAGTTTAAAAGGTATGAGTTACTTGCACTTCCATGACATGCTATGCACCCCGCCAGATTTACCCTGTACGTGAGAGATTTAATTGAAATATCTACACATAGTTGGCACTTAGAAATTGAAAACAAGAATCAAAGAAAAGAACTATTGCAACAAATGTATTGATGTATACAAATTCGGTGTTTACTCATGTGAAAAAGGTGAGGATAGCGAACAGTGATCGATCACAAAAATTCAGCAAACAATCTAAATCTGTGAACTTGGCATAAACACAGATCCCCGGATATACCATATGTGGGATCAGGTACCTAGGAGGAGTAAGCATCCTATGGTTCCGGTCACACATTCGGTAATTCCTTTGAATTGATAAAGAAGATAGAACATTCTGTTGACAGATTTAAATGAAACAAGTCCACTAAAATACGACCTAATGATAAGTTACATGTACATTTCCTACCAATATCATTATAACACCATAGAATTTACAAAATGTTGATTTAAACGAGATTTTTGAAATTATTCTTACGATATACAATTATGCAAAATATGAGGTGAGGCAGATGTATCAGTCAAAAACAAGATTTCTTTTTAAATATATATTTATTTTTCAAAAGGGAATAATAAGTTAATGAATAATGGAATCAGGAATTAGAAAAGGTATGTGGATCCCTGTCTTTTAAAGAACACCAAGATTTGTTTGTGAAACATCTATGCCTCCGTATGGCAGCTCTTGGAAAGTTTAAGTTTCTAAAATGTCATACTCTAACCTCAAGTCAGAAGATAAAAAAATTGGTACCAAAACAAAAGTCTTGTCACAAGGAATACCTGTGAATTAGAAAAGCCGTAACACTAAGAGTTCTAAAGTTAAGGCCAACCTAAAGGTTTTTTTAATAGTACTCGAAACTTTAAGTAAAGGTAATAGGGTCAAAATTAATGGCATCCATGCATAGAAAGCTCTTGACATTTAAGATAAACCTGTGAAAAGTGAATGCCCTAGCACCGACTGTTCAAACATTATACGGCAGAGGCTAAACCCTCTGTTGCATTAAAATTTATATGAATTTAAAACTGTTTATCTATCTTAGAGATGCCGTGTTAATAAAATAATACGCATGATATAGTCATTCATTAAAATTCTAATATTTGCTACGCAAACTTTATGTAGCCTCTATGTTTTGATTCTTCAGTTTTGAAAAAGACAGACATTATATTGGATAGTTGGAGAAAAGAGGATACAAAGTTTGTTATAAAAAGAGGATGTCAACTTGCAGAAAAAATAATTACTGATATTTCTGTTAATATTGTCACAATAACTGGAAATATGGGTTCCGGAAAGTCTGCTATAGCTCACCATATAGCAATTCAAATATCGTCTTGATGGCTGGAATGTTTTCCCTGTTGGAGATATCAGAGACATAGAAAATCTCCTTAATTTTGAGGAATTTTCTTTAAAGCAATTATTTGTTTTTGATGATCCTATCGGAAAAGATGCAATTGACGAAAATCTCATCAGCGATTGGAATTTCTTCGAGAGAAGAGTAGCAATGTTTCATAGAGTCGACAACGTTAAGTTTCTGTTTACTTGTAGGGAACAGATTTTAAAAGAACTAAAGACAGAGTCTTTGCTGCTTAAAAATGTTGTTTCTCTTGAGGGAAATTTGAAACTTACTGTGAAAGAAAAGTGTCGTATTCTTCAATGTCATCTAAGAGAAACGTCATATACAGAACAACAAATAAGGAAAATCGCAAAATGCGATTCTATAAAATACTTTCCGTTACTTTGCTCCTTGTTTGGAAGTAAGATGGCATATCAGAAAGAGGGCATACAATTTTTCCTTCAACCAAGGGAAATAATCGAAAGAGAAATAAAATTTTACAGGGAAAACGATATTATTAAATTTTGTTCATTAGTTCTTTTGACACAAAATAGGGGTTTGTTTGATAAAGGGTTTCAGTGGAATGAAAGTATCTTCAGACATATCTTGAATTTGTTTGGTCTAGCTAATACTGTAACACAATCTAAAATTTTTGAGCAATATAATAACTTGTCCGGACACCTTCTTAAAACAGAAGGTCAATCTGTACAATTTTTTAGTGATTTTATCATGGACGTAGTTACGTATGTTTTCGGAAAAGAATTTCCAGATGAAGCTATTAGAATATGCTCGTCCAAGTTTATGCGACGAAATGTTTTCTTTGCTGACTGTGAATCATATCTGCAACGAGCCAGTTTCCCTATCGTTTTAACCGAAAAAAACACAACAGTTTTTATTGAAAAGGTTCTTCACAATTTGAACAATTCCTATTTAGATATTTGTTTATGTCCATCGCTTAGGAGTCCAGTGGTTAAATCATCGCTTAGAAAAAAGATATCATCGCTGGAGGATGAGGATTTTAAGAAAATATTCCTGACATCAATTCATCGTAAACATTTTGCAAGAACCCCCTGGCCCTTGTCAAGACTTCAACATATTTCAGGTAAAGATATATACCATCTACTGTTTAAGCTGTTCAACCCTCATTTAAAGCAATCAAAACCTACATGTAAAGATGTCCAAGCTTGGCTATTGATTTTGATACACCCGTATCTGAGACAAGTAACGAATTATCGCCAATTTGCTGCGCTGAAACGACATGCGAGGAAGGGGTAATTAAAATTCAGCAAATGGAAATGAGAGAAGAAAACTGTAAAGAGGAAGAGAATATGCAGTTTACACCAAAGGAATTACATGATTTGTTTGCAGATATCTTTTCTACATGCATACCAAAGGACATATTACAAGATATATTTATTGCATTAACGAAAGCAGCAGCTTTAGTATTTCCTTTTGAAGATTTTGAATTGTACACTCCAGCACCTGCAAGTTTACAGAAATTTGAAAGAACAATTTGTCAGATATTATTATCAGTTGAACCTATATGCACGGATGTCAAAAGAAATGATATCGCCGAACTGAATTTTGATGTGTTGGTAAGGCTCATATCATTTCACAGTGATAGAGATCGGTTTGATATACTACGATAATGTATGATTTGTCTTCTCGTGGAAAAATATTCTCCTTTCGTCAGAGCAGTTTTTGACCTGGTACGAGATTTTTACAGTACTATTCCTTTTTGTCACCGCCATGTAATAAAAGAAATCGGTGTTGATTTTTTTGTAATAATAAAAAAAATTGTGTCACATTTTCTCTCCATGGATTTAAATGAAAAATACTTTTATCAAATACCTACAAAAGAATACTGGTTATCACATTTAGAAATTCTTTTGGATGACCTTACTTTTCCCGTAGAAACTGTTCTTCCACTGGGAATATTTATGGATTTTGAGTTTCATCACAGGTTTAAACAATGCAGCAAAGTGCAGATGAAAATTAATATGGCAATGTTTGGCTCCGAGTTGACCCCATGTTTATGTTTCACTTTATTTGGTCATGACGAAATAGTAGATGCAATTTTATCTCGACTATGTAGATTAGACAAGGAAATAGTGGCCAAAGTTGCTAAAAAACTATTTTTGGCAGGATGTGCTTCTGGATCAATGAGTATTGTAGAAAAATTATTTAATCTCACTAGAGGAACTGCTAAGTTGGAGAGGTGGTATTTTGGACAAAATTCTTACGACGCTTTACAAATTTCTTCTGCACTGCATAATTATGAAATTGTCTCTTTTTTACTAGAAAATAAGTTTGACGTTAATGTTGTTGACATATTTGGAAACACGCCGTTACTACTAGCCCTTCAATATATGAATAGATACATGCCAAATACCGACAGGTTGAGAACAATCCAGGTTTTAAAGTGCTTACTAAAGCACGGGGCCGATGTGAAGCATTCAAATTTTGACGGTTACTGTGCATTACATTTCGCTTGCAAGTTTGACTATCCTGACATCGTAAAATTATTTTCGGGTTTTGGAAGTGTCCACCTTGTAACTTCATGTGGAAATACCCCATTAATCATTGCCTCTGAATATGGCAATGCTGAAGTTGTAAAAATGCTGCTTCAAAGGGGAGCTGATGTAAATAGAAGAAATGACAAGAAATGTTCCCCTTTATTTGCTTCCTCCAAAAATGGGCATACAGACACAATGCAAATTCTTCTGCAGAAGTGAGCTTTGATAAACTTACCGGACGAAAATAAAGTCAGTCCGTTATCAGTTTCGTCACGAGAGGGGCACGTAGAAGCCGTTAAATTTCTTCTCAGTCAAAATGCTGATATCCATCAACGAGATGCCACACTTAATACACCTTTATTATGGGCGGCATTATCAGGACATAAGCAATGTTTACAAATTTTGATTAAAGGTGGGTCAAACGTTAACGACTGGAATGAAAAAGGTGAAAATCTTTTGTTTTTGGCATGTAAGAAAGGCCATTTTGCGATTGTTGAAATGGTTTTGGAGCAAAATGTCGATAAAGAAAACATAACAGTCGACAGAAAAAGGCCTATTGTTGCTGCAGCGATGTCAAACAACACTGATGTTGTCCGATTGCTTCTGCAAAAAGGGGCAAAAGTCAATTCGGATAAATCAGGGGACCTATCAGCTTTATATTTTTCTCTGGCTTATGAAAATGAAGAGATGTTAACGTTGCTTCTCGAACATAACGCAAATGTTAATGAAATAGATGCACAGGGAATGTCGATTTTTCAAAACGCTGTTTCAAGGGGAAACATCAATATAGTGTCTAAACTTCTTCAATATGATTGTGATCTTTCTGTAAAAAATACACATGGAGAAACACCTTTTCACATAATTTCTCGTATGGGAAATAGCGATTTACTTCAACAACTTTTACATGTGAAAGGGGGAGCAGTTCTTAATGAACAAAATATGTTTGCAGAAACAGCATTATACCTGGCATCCGGATTTAACAATCGTAAAACTGTTGAACTGTTGATTTCAAACGGATCTGATATGAACATATGTGACTATTTGAACACATCACCTTTATACATAGCATCTAAGAAAGGACACATAGATATTGTTTCAGTTCTGCTCAATTCTGGGGCAACGTATGCAATATTTCGTTTTGATCTTTCTAGCCCACTAATGACCGCTGCAGCAAATGGGCACGTGGGTATAGTAAAGATGCTATTAAATTTTGAAACAGATGTTAATCACCAAGACAATAGAGGAAAAACAGCTTTATGGCATGCGGCAGCTTATGGGAAAATCGATGTTGTTTCTTCATTATTACGGATGTTAATATTTCTAATAGTTATGAGGAGACACCACTAGCGATAGCTATGAACAACGAATATCCAAAAATAGTGATAGCTTTGCTACTGTCGGGTGCAGTTATAACCAGGATCAGAATTATAACAAGACAATCTATTAAATACTCTTCCATTTTCGTGAGCGATATGAAAAGGTACGTCTACCGGTTTTCTCCGAATGGGAATGCTCCACAAAATACAATCTAAAAAATTGATCTTCTTCACAAGTCTCAAAAGTACAAGTTTGTAAATAGTGTAAAAATACAATTTACAACTATGCAGGTACTGTTCTCAGATAAACCAATTATTTACTTATTTAAGGCAACTTGTTAACAAATAAAACATACATTTACTTAAATTTTCATTTTTCATATGTTTTCATTGAGAATTTAAAATTTTATCAAAAAAGTCTTCTTAAAGCAAAGTGAATATTTAAGACAATCATAATGGCGCACAACTTAAAAATGGAGATTTCCAACTAAATACCAGAATTATGTTTGCAACAAAATTACATTGATGTTTATTGCAAACAGGAATTCTTTACTGATATATAGTACCGTTTCTAAATGAGTGAAAATTTCGCAAAAGGGACTTAAAGAACATACAATCAGTCATAATAGATGAATGCATATAAAAATTATCATATTTTGGAATCCTTTCAACAAGGTAAGTTTTATTTATTTATTTTTATTCATTTATTTATTTATTTATTTATTTTGGTAATCAAAATGTTCAGTGAGTTGTAATTTCGTTCATTGCTTCTATAAACAGTAGATTTAATCACCATGTACTTTGACAAAAATGGCATTAGTGGATGTATATTTGTTGGTAAGGAGAACCCACGGAATGTACGAACATTGGTTCCAAGCAAACAATGATGAATCCACTATAATTTTCGTGTAGATGCGTTTCCAAGAAAATGTTTCTTTTTATGGTTTATAGATTGAGCTTCGTATATTTATTTAAAACACGTTTTGTAGGAATTCAAACATTGTAACATTTAATTTTTTTTTTTCATTTTTCTTAGTGGTTCTTTGTATAAATGAGTACAAACTATACTAATGTTACTACATTGTATCAAATTTCAGATGAACTCGTCTTTTTATGTAATATGCAGACTATGTCAAAGTACATCTTTTTGTTAACGTGTAGTATTTTTTTTATTTCATTAAGTATCAAAAATCATCAACTTTTACAGTTTTAACATACTTTGTATTATGTTAATTAGAATCTGATCAAAACACATATCTTTACATTACTTCTGATTTTTTTTAACATTTATATCAGATGTTCACCCATTTATACAGTTTATATTGGACATATTATATCGATTTCATACCAACAGTTCTGACGTTCTCACTTGTTGAAACTATACAGAACAGATTCATGTTCATGTATAAAATAATGGGAAAAAACATTGATATATATATATTTAAAACACGCGATAAAAAGAATCTCCCATAGTCTGTGGTCGGATCTGTATCCAAGTAGTTGTATGTTTTCCATCCATAAGCAAAGACAGACAACTCATTGGATACAAATCATATTCAACCACAAACCATGTGAATTCTATATATACATGTATTTTGTGAATCTCTATTATTACTGTTTTCGTTCTTTTGATTGACATTGAATTTACATGCAAGTTTTTGCTTGTTTTTATATACCTATAATAATGATAAAAATAATCAACAAGACAACATTACTAAATTATTACACATTATCTTGATAATATTTAGTGCACCAATTTGTACCCAAGGAAGAAAATAATACCGGAGCATTTGATTCATTTTATTTTAGTGTAACCAAGCAATGAGAATTTTTATATTTTGAGATAATGGCTATTAAAAGGAACAGTCAAATGCTGGCGTTCTTGGTTTTGAAGAAACTATTTCCTCACAGGAACCCTAACGGCAGTTTTTGCAGTAATAAAATCATAGGCACTTGGTTTCAGGATGGAAAATTTTGTGTGTTGTGTGTGTGGGTTTTTTTTTAAATATCTGTTTAAATACACTCTTTTAAAAAAATTAAAAATCGCATAAATTGGTACTTTTAAAGATATCATATTTCTGTATATAAAGACACAATGTTTGCAACTCGCCATCATGGATTCCATGGGGTGACTCGGTTAACTATCTTCCTTCAATATTTACACTTTTCTACCGGTGTCGGGTGAGATTTAGCTAAAAAACAACTGATGGAAAAAAATCCCTCCAATCATCTGCGGATTTGCACTTGCTGTATCAAACATGCAGTAAAGCAAAACGTCCTCGATACCTAGCACTGAAACTGAAAGTAAAAGAAATGATGATTTCTATCTATGTAACGTGCAGAGGCGTCCCGGGATTGCACGTAAAGTCTAGAGGGGTCATTAACCGCGCCAAACTTGTTCTATCTAGACATTCCGGGAAGCCTCTACATAAAATACACCATCCTGAAACCAAGCGCCTATGATAAAAATGCGTTTCGATGCTTGAAATCAAAATGTACACGGTTTACTAGTATTTACATTTTCAAATGCTTTCTCTTTGATGACGCTGAAATTAAGTGTGGTACTTTTTCAATATTTTCAACTGTATGTAATTTTTGCAAAGTGAAAAGCCTAGTGCCTTATATGCATGTCAATGTCCCGGGTTGTCAATGTGTCTGAAGTCAGTGAGCGGGAACTAAGGAAATTAATATGGAATGCTTCGTGTGTGTTCATTTTATATTTAAATTCTTTTTTCACACACATGTTATACTAGTAAATGTAAATATAAAGAGTCGATGTCTACTCACTTGGGTATCCGATGGACATTAACAACAGCTGGAACCGTGGGATACTCGAAACGGGCCAGAAAAAAAAATGCCACCTCCCCCCCGAGAATCAAATGATTGTCCCAACAAAATGAAATTGGAGAAAAAGTTAAATCTGAGTCTCCTTTATCATTTTCTGCTTTACACTTAATTTAACATTTCTTGATTGCTAGCAATAGAATTATACTGAATTTTACTCTCCTTAATTCTTAGCGTAATAACTAATTCGTTCAGATCAGACAAGTTTTAAAGAAAAGTTAATACTTGTTTTTCACCTACCAAAAAACTAAGATGATTACAGAGAGTTCTGGTAAGAAATTGAGAATGATAAATACAGTAAGGTTGATTAATTGCATGCATAAAACGCACTTTTCTTCTTACGACCATTACCTTATCTCTTGGACACAGAAATTTTTTAACAGGATACTTATAACGAAGATAATGCTTCGATTGGGTCAGACAGAAGTGGTCTTATATTTCATCTGTTTTATATATATATATATATATATATATATATATATATATATATATATATATATATATATATATATATATATATATAATCACCAAGCTTCGAATGATTTTACCCTTTAAAAATGTAAGGAAAAACTACTCTTGTGGAGTCAATGTGCTTTTCTCCGAAGATTTTACAAAACTCCCACATACACAATGATTGTGACCTCTGATGCAGTGTATATCATGATAAAATAGGATATACACTGAAAGACAGTAATTCATAACGCAGTATTTTTTTTTAATTATTTGAAGGTTAAGATTTGTCCTGATCAAGTAAGATAAATAAAAGTAATATTATTTAATGTTTTAAATAAATGTTTATTGTCGGATTGCTTTAATAAAATTTGTAATTTGAAAAAAATGTTTTATTATTTTTTAAAGAAATTGTTTTTGGTCACATTGATTTCATCAGACAACACAATAGATAATTGTAACTCATTAACCAAACGGGAACAACAAAACCCTTCGTTGATTATTTTTAAATATGCCAAGATAATGATTTACTCATACACCAATTCTTTTTCCCCATATACGAGGGTTGTCCGGTTAAGTTCCCTAGTGTAAAAAATAACTAACATTGCTTTCTAAAATTTTCCCTTCTCTTTAGTACCCCTTTTTTTCAATATACATAGCACATTTCAAGATGATATATGCTCATATAAACAAAATATGAGATTTTAAGTTATGTGTGGTATCGTCTCACGACGCACGGATGATAACGTCAAATGTCTTAACGTCACATTTTATCTTTGCTTGAAAAACCCAATTTAAATTCTTGTAATTTCACTGAAGTATACACACTCTAGTTCTCTTTTATTCCCCCATGAACAGTCGAGGGACCAACTTTGTACACACATGGGACCTTTTGAAGATTTGATTTAGGAAATTATGTAATAAGCTAATCTCAATTTCCTTGAACTAAATGGGCAATCATTTTTTGACGGTTTGCAGTGACAGCGGTTTTCGTTATTACCTGTAGCTGATTGTCTGTATGTTTTGTTCTACACTGGGCGAGACTTGATCAACGAGCTTCCGCTTATAAAATCCCAATACTTAAGTATTATTGTCTCTTAAAGCGTTATTACTTAATCTACATATAAATGACTGCTCTCCGGTGCGCCGTAACGTCATCAAACGTCACCATTTTTCTCTTGTTACGTTTACCACTTTCCCATCTCAAATGCTCGGCAAATTGACAAAAATTTATTTAATGCCTTGAAATTTTCCAAATGCCGAAATAAGAGATGGTGAATTAAAAAAGATTAATTTTTATCCCAACCTTATCTATTTCATACTTTTATTTCGAAATAATACTCGCATATTCCATGAAAAAATCTTGACATTTTAATCGTTCGCCGAAGGACCATACCCTTTGCACATTCAAGTATAATAAAGTCCTTAGTTTTGCCTATAATTTATCAAAAATATTAAAATGTATCTAAATTTGATAAATGAACATTTGCTGAAAATTTCAGCTCAGTGCGGGCACAATTTTTCAATAAAAACGCGATGTCCACGATTTAACCCGACAACCCTCGTAGATAGTTGTTCATAGACGCGAACTTTTGAGATCGACCACTCTTTGTTTTCTTTACCTTAGAGCGCTCGCTTCGTGATCGGAATTTCGTGTGTTCGAATCACGGCCGCGACTGACCTAAGTCGATGAAAAAAGGTAGCAACTGTTCCTTCGCCAGGTGCTCGGCACTTTGA